GGCTGTGTTGCAGGTGGATGTAGGAAAGCAATGAGTTTCTTTAGTTGAACTTCCGCCTAGGCTCCATGTTAATTAGCTTCTCTAAATTGTCTTTGGGTGTGAGTGTGCATGTTGTGTGTGTCTGTGTTGCCCTGCAATGGAATGGTGACCTGGACAGGGTGTGCCCCACCTTTGGCACAGACTGCTGGAGATAGGCACCAGCCCCAACACAACCCTGACAGATGAAGCGGGAGAAGATGGATGGATCCTATACAAGAAAATCCCTGCTTTATCTTTATGAAAATTATCCTGTTTTTCTTCATTTTAAGAGCTTAAAATACAAATAAACTGTAGGTCGTATGAAAATGCAATGCAGTCCCTATGGCAAATATTTCATTATTAATAAAAGTTAATGTAATATTTGTGCTATAAACAACTTTCACTTAGCCAGACTCAGGCCAAAATGGTTTCAAAGGTTCCAGACCCTCCTTGTAGGGCTTAGTCTGCCTATTAAATCATACAAAGGCTTGCCATACTTTCGCGCGTTGGAGCGTTGCTTAGCAACGTGACGTAGCTGTCCCTCACAGACCACAGAGCTCTCCCTCCGTCCTCCATCTACAATGATCTGCCTGTTTCTGTCCATTTTTGCCCACGTCTTCCAGTCAGGTTGGTTTTGGATGCTTGTTAGTAGCTGAGCGACATTTAATCGAACCTTTGATCCGAGTTTTTCCAGCTGATTTAGTTCATTTTCCAGGAGATGCCGGGGTTAGCTGAAGGCAGCAGACTTTCATTGGGTAACAGTGCTGTCATGCAGCTCTGCTAACTTTAACCCTGCAGTGGTTTAGACTTTAAAACGGGACTAAACCAACCCAAGCTCATCACTAACTGGTGTGTCCAACTCAGCTGCTGATCCAACAGCATGCGGCGTGGCTCCTCTTTGTCAGAAAAGTTGATTCATCGTCCTATTATTAGCTCAGGGGCTCGCGCGCTGCTTATTGGGGAGATTTGTGCTCGCGCGCAGACTGTGGGATCTGATAGGCTGCTGCAGAAAGAGTCGCAGCAATGAGGCCGACAAAAAGGTCACAGCAGGATCTGCAGGAGTTGGACGATCTGGTGCGAAAACAGGCAAAGATTGATGAAACCGGTGAGAGGTTCTTTATGTGGGGTTTAGAGAGAAGAGATTGAGGAGCTTCTGCTGCAGTGCTTCGTTTTTAATACATTAACCAATGCAGAATATCCTACAGAGTTGCTTTTACGCATGAAAAATACCAGATTTTACGTAGATTGCGGGAATTTAATAAGATGCATGCAGTTTAATTAAAATTTGTAAATGTCAGCATTTTTATGGCTCTCCACTAGGGGGCGATGTTGATCAATGGGCGACCAAACCAAGGCTGGGAAGTTTTTAGGAGTAAACTACCATAAAATCTTTAATTTCAAAGAGGTTTGTGTGTCACATCCACACTAAGTAGAAGAATATTGTGAAGCAGAAGGATATTCCTGCTCATTTTCCCCTTTTTATTATTTTATCCTCATGAAACCAACATCCTTAGGCAGAATTAATCAGAATATGTGAAGTAATTTCAGATTTTCCTTAGTATAATGGCTTTTTGGAAAAAAAATGTTAAGTGAGGAGGTTTTCATTTAAAGAAAATAGCATTAGAACAAGGTGACACAACCAGAGGTGTCAAGTAACGATGTACAAATACTTCGTTAGTGTACTTAAGTACACTTTTTAGGTATCTATACTTTACTCCATTACTTATTTTTCTTCCTACTTCTGATTTCTACTCGTTACATTTTCACACAAGTATCTGTACTTTCTATTCCTTACATTTTTAAAACAAAGAAAAAGATGTTGAGATCTCTGAAAGGTCGGACACAGGCGAGAGCGTATCAGGAGATGGAGACCAACTAGACCTCCCTCATCCTTGACCCTATTTCAAAGAATTTTTTTGAAATAGTCTAAAAATTGAGCTTTCAATTCATATAGTGGCATCTGGATGTTTTTTTTTTTAAAGGTTACTTTATACTTTTATACTTTAAGTAGTTTTTGGAGCACATACTTTTTCACTTTTACTTGAGTAAAGAGGTCAAGTTGATCATTGATTACTAAACTGCACTATCTCTGTGTGTACTTTTGACGCCACTGGACACAATGAAACTGCTGAGACCTGACCATCCCCTTAATAAAGCATGGCAGTGAGCGCAGCATTGTGTGGGATCCTTATTTATCAGCAGGAACGGGAAACATGTCAGAGAATGGAAGGCAGGAGGTTCTATTCTGTTAGGTTATGTCTTTAAGAAGTATGCAATTGAAGGGATGTTTTCCCTTTGTTTGCAAAAGCAAGTGCATGCTACACTCTGAATGAAACAGTTCCTTTTGGTTTGAAGTTGCATTCCACTGCATTCTTTTTGCTATTTCAGGCTGGACAGGGGTGAACGAGCGCACCTTCATCGCAGTGAAGCCTGACGGTGTGCAGCGGAAACTGGTTGGAGAAATAGTGCGTCGTTTTGAGAAGAGAGGCTTCAAACTTGTGGCACTTAAACTTGTAAAGGTATTTCCTTGTGCTTCAAATATGCGGTAATGGTTAACCCATGGGAAGATAACAGACCCAATCGGCTAAGTTATTTATCTTGATTAAATGTGTCCACCAGGCATCTGAGGAACTTCTCAGCGAACACTACTGGGAGCTGAGGAAAAAGCCTTTCTACAGCAGACTGATAAGCTACATGAGCTCTGGACCAGTTGTTGCAATGGTGAATTTCCCCAGCTTACAGATTTCTCAGCATCCCTTTGATGTGTTCAAGCATGCATCTCTGTTCTCCCTTGACACATTCCTGTTTGTTTATTTTCCTGTAGGTGTGGCAGGGTTTAGATGTTGTGAAGACGGCTCGCAAGATGCTGGGAGAGACCAACCCTGCAGAGTCACTGCCAGGAACCATTCGCGGAGATTTCTGCGTGGAAGTGGGCAAGTAAGTCGATCCATCAGCTCAGCCTGTTAGTTAGAGATCAGATCTGTGTTTTATATCCGCAGACATTTATAGTGAGTCGCAATCAGAAGTGCAGAATTCTCTCTCGTAGTGCAAAACCCTCAGCCTGGCATTTAATCTCATATGTAAAAAAACAACAACATCTTATCAGTGTTAAGAAATTACACCCACAAGCTCAAATATATACATGCAGTTGTATATTTTGGTGTGTTTTAAGACAGTAGCAAGATAATGCCAGGTTGATGCTGGGGAATAGTTTTGCACCTGCTGCTCTGGCCCCTTGCACATCATTTATGGAATAAAGATGGATAACAACCCCTTAGGAGGACACATTATCTTTCCTATTTCTAATTACTCTCACAAGTATGGCCCAGAAAAATGTGGCCAAAAAGGTTCAAGGTTAATACTTCCCAGAATGCCTAAAAACTGAGGATAATCAGAGTAGCGCATCTGACTCTTTATGGGCTGTTTTTAAGGAACGTGATCCACGGCAGCGACTCGGTGGAGAGCGCCCAGAGAGAGATTTCTCTATGGTTCCGTCAAGGTGAGCTCCACCGTTGGGAGAGCAGCTCCAAGAACTGGATCTACTAACCGTTTCCAGAGAAACTATTAACCTGAACTGGTGTTACAATGTTGTCTTTTTTTTTTTTTAGCTTTAGCCTTTTGTAGCTTCGTAGCATAGAAAGGTCATCTCTGCCTTGCTGCTTCATCTCTTTGGTTTACATTTTTTGTTCAAAGTAAGGTGAGAATCTTTGCAGAAATGTTAGGAGCAGTAATGGGTGTTTTTCATTTCAAACTATAAGATTTACTTAATGCAAAGAGAAAATGTGAAATCAGGAAGATAATGGGTTTAAAAGTGACTCATTACATGTTTTTTTAAAATCATAATGAGTTGCTGTTAACCATTTAAAAATGCAAAGGCAAAATTACTTGATGTATATGGTGAAAATTACACTAAATCAAGGAGATTATTGATGTTTAAAAATTGCTATTTTCTTTCATTGAATGCTTTCCAGTAAGTTAAAGTCCTCTATGGATGTAAAATAATAATGTGGAAATACTTGAATGTAAAGTTTTCAGCTTTTGAACAGCATTAAACTCTTTACTATTGTTGCTTTTCTATTTTTATACCAGGCTCACTGAATGCAATAAATATAGCACATTTGTGTAATAAACTCATAAAAAACTGTCTAAAGATGAAGCTCTTGTAGTTTTTTTTTTTTTTTTTTTTGCTCAGTACTTTTTGTATAAACATAAAAAATAAAAAAACTAAGAACACAATGGAGATGTTTTCTTTCGGCACACGAATATGTTTTAATATTTAAAGCACAGATGGAGATTGATGCATGAGTTTCCATACTGAACAGAGAGGATGGGCTTCGGTGCTTCTGAACATTTACAATTATCCCTGTACATAAAATAACAACATGCCACTGTTTACCTGCTTCACACCAAAGCATCTGATCAACAGCCAGTCAGAGAGATTATTTAAGAACCAAAGGATTAGGACATTAAACTGGGCCAATCTGAGTGGATGTGGACACACTCTGTTCTTTAGTTTGCACCACATATCTCCAGCATCTTCCTAAATAAGCTTGTATGCAGCACAGTTCCTTGAAGAAAACCATCACCAACCTGTTCATTGGCATGCATCCCTGTTTCCCCCCCCTTTATTCTGATACTCCTTAATAAAGGCCTATAAACATGACCAGCTCAGTCAACAGTTCTTATATTTAATATGTCTTTAAAATAAATGCTGCCGTCTTGTGATAACAAATAAAACTCCTGCATATCACCCTGTACACACCAAAGCCATAGTGAAACACGGTGGTGGCAGCATCATGTTGTGAGGGGCCTTCTAAAAAAACAAAACAATACTACGCATTTATATTGAAACCTCTAAATCAATTCACTTTATCACTTGAAATTTAGATAAACTACATTTCTGGTTGTAATATGACAAGATGCGGGTAAGTTCCAGTAGAGTGATCAGCTTTTTAAGGCTGTGTGTTTATTTAGTCCGGATCGAGATCGACTTCACAGCATTTCAGGGGGAAAAAAAAAGAAAAATTCCCCAACTTGTTACCAAATCAATTTTCCTTCAACTTTTGTCAATGCATTTGCAAGCTGATGCTATCACTTCGCTGTATCTGCCGATCTTTATTGTTTTCTGTTTTGGACAGAAGTTTCCTTTGATAACAAACTTGAGCGGCTCTGCAGTCAAGGTTGCATATAGGAGGAGATAAGGTGAGCTTACAGGGTGAGTATTGGATGGTTACAGAGGAGGGAGGTAGTTACAAGGCTTATGATGATGGTTATAATATCCTGTGTGGGACAGACACAGGATGGCAGGCAGATAACTAGGTCAAAGGAGGTACTTACAAGGCATTAAAGTTAAAAGGTGATGGCACGAGGGGAGGGGTTTAATAGTTACAAGGAAAGAAGCGCAGCTTAGAGGATTTATTTGTTTCGGAGCCAGACGGGAACTTTTACATGACCGGGGAATAATTACAAGGTTTAAGTGGCTGTAAGCTTCTGGGGTGGGGGGTGGTTTATTCAAAGAGATGTTTGGGTATAATGTTAGAGCAGGTTTCGGCGTCACTCCGGCACATAGGACACCTGCCAGACGATGATGTGGCTTCGCTCAGCTTTGCTCAAAGCAGGTTTCATCTGCGAAGCCCCACCGCTGCTGTCACCTTCCTCCGTCTCCTCATCCTCTCCATCCCCTGCAGGAGGAAAAATAAAAACACGGAGCATGAGAAATTAATTTATACTTATCTAAACTTCATTGGGATTATTCATTCTGGCTTTTATACGATGCCTATGTGGATATAAGTGACTAACAAGATAAATGAAATAAAAGCACAAACTAAGGGGTCAGAACCACTGATCTCTGTTTATTCACTTGATGGTTAATAGGCTTTTGGTAGTATAAGGTGCTGTGAAGTCACCAGCCGCCATATTGGTACTCCCCTAGTTAGACCATTCGCAATGTAAACAATAAGTGCGCTACGGCATCGAACAACAATGATTTCCTCATTTTCATGGAGCCTTAAGACATTTAAAATAAAGATAAAATAATCACTTTGACACACACTTGCTGTTTCATAGCATCAGTAGATTACTGTAATTTCTGGTAAAAAAAAAATTAGGCACTTCACATAACATATTATACAAATCCATCATAACAAAATTAGTGCGTTAATGGAGCATAATAATACTGAAGGTTGGATATTAAGAATATTAAACACATACGCACACACTATCTGATTACGTGCCAAAAATGGCTAAATTGATGATTTACATGTAATATACATGTATTGATTACGTTGTTATGGTAATTAAATTACATTGCAGGCATTTTAATGGCTCGACTCCTTGAAAGTTGGGAGTACCAAGTGCTGCAGGTGACTTCAGTTTTTTCGGTCTATCAGGAATCCAGTGAACAAATAGAGATCAGTGGTCAGAACAGACACGATCACAGCAGAGGAGTAAAATACAGATGTTTGTAGGGAGTAATGGGATGGGAGTCACTGCTCACCTATGCGGAAGTCGATGTATCCCTCTCCTCCGCTCAGTACCAACACGTTTTGAACACTCTGCGTTTCCGTCTCTGTGGGCGCTGTGGAGCTCTGACCTTCAGACGGACTGTCCAGAACACTGCCATTTAGGGTGGCTAAAACATTACCTGTCAAAAAAAAAAAAAACACAAGTTGGATATTTCAATCCTGCATATGAAAGAACTGAGTTTTCTTGATCTCCAGCACCATTTAAATGTGGAGTTCCCCAAGGCTCAAATCTGGACCCTGGTTTGTTTGCAATATCTGTGCAACTTTTAAAGCTTCAAATGCTTTTCCTTTCTTTATTCTGTTTATCAATATAAAAGTTAATTATTTTAAGCTTGAATCTGCTTTTGTAAATTATATTGAAAAAGGAAAAGAAAGCAAAACGGTTTCTTTTCCTTTCCTCACTTTCAAATCTATCAAATCTTTCTTTGAAATCTAAACAAAACTACCTAAAATACAGGTCTTCTCTCTTAATAAAGGCTTTAAATGGTATTACTGGTGACCTTGTTAAACCCAGCACCACCTTCATATGGAGGACCTCAAGGCTACAGTCTGGGCCCTGTTTTGTTTTCATTATGTTTTGAATATAGGTAGTGTGGTGTGTTATCTCGCCGTGCTGCTAAATCTGCTATAATGCTACAGTCATCAGATTTTGGCAAGCTAAATAACCAAACAGAATTCTGGGGTTTTATTTGATTTCAATATCTTTCACCCTTAAAAACAAAAAACATAGCTTGTGGCAAAACAAACAGCTTTTCACTGTATTGCAACTTCTGCTTCTAAATGATACAATATTTTAATTTATCACAACAACATCCTGAAAAAGACAAAGCTACTGATTTTTCACCATTAGATAAACATATTAGGTAAACAAAAAGCTGTGATCTATAGTTACCCGGTACGGAAACGAAGAACTTGACAGCATCGCGGTGTCCATGGAAACACAGCTGCGCTTGCGCCATGGAGCAGTAGGGGATGAAGCTGCCGGTGCTCTTCTCAGAGCCATCATCTCCGTACACATGGATCACACCACCGGATGACGTAGGAGACACCTTATTGGCTGACGGAGTGAAAACGTATTGATGAGAAGGAAAAGACGAGAAAATCATACATGCAGAGCAAACATTTTATATTCCCCCCAAAAATAAATTAATCAAAGACTTTGCATGCAGCAAATACATTACACAGACACAATATTTATGAAAAAAATTATAAACTGTCATGCAAAGCATGTTACCGATGAAAATATTGAAAGTAAAATCACAAAAAAAGTAGATAAACCTAAGAGAAAGCGTTGCAGAGGTCTGCAGGGAACATGAAGGTTTGACTGGGTGAGAACAGTTAGATCACAATAGCAGGAGGGAAGGAGCACTCCCACTTACCCCTCAGACCCAGGAGCTGTCCTCGGTGAAGGACCACCGCTTTGGGAGGTGGAGCAAGAGGGGAAGGGAGAAGGGGACAGTAACAGAAAAAGTTATGGCTCAGACTGGGAGAAGAAGGTAAAACCACCAGAGAGAGAGAGAAGGTGAAAGAAGGTGCTTGGATAGAAGGGGAGAAGATCAGATGGAGAGCATAAAAAGCTCTAATAGAAGACAAGAGTCTGTGTGGTTTTCAAGGAAATCTCCAAAAGAAATGGGAGCTTTAAGATTTAGGGTTTCCGTTAAACTGTTCACCTTTTTTTATTTTCTGTTTTAAGTCGTATTAAAGTCACCACTGATCATTCATAGTAACTGGTTGGTAAAGCTAATAAAAAAGAAAAATAATCCTCACAATCTGTGATCATAGTTTCCTCTGTGGTTTTACGTTTTGTGGTGAGTTTCCTCTTGTATGGAGGCACTTACTCTCTGTCAGTGGGATGGAGATGATCACACCGTTTCCAGTCCCCACCCAGAGGCGATTTCCTCCGATCAGCAGGGCTGTGATCCGCACAAAGGAGAAACCAAGCTTCCCCGTACCTGCAACCCACAACCAGAGACAGGACTCTGAACCTCAACATCAAATAGCTCTTCTAACGATACCTTCATGAGCAAAACCTCCATAAACCTGTTGTTTTTTTTTGGGTCCGTTAAAACTCACCCAACATTTTGCTGACATATGGCTCGATGTCCACATCCTGGAGGTGCTGGTGCGTGTGCGCATGGTACAGCCGCAAGGTGGAATCCAGCCGGATCGAAACCCACACGCCGTCACCGATCCAGGCCAGCTGCCGTACCTGGCTCTCCCTCCGGGGGTGGGCGTCGAAGGACTTCTACAGAGTGGCGGTGGAGAATTAGTGGCGAACAAAATCAATAAAGTGGGCTGAAAATATTGAACAGAGGGACGTCATGCCGCTCACCTCAATCTGCATGCTTTTGGGCTGAATGACGTGAATCTTGTTCTTGTAGCCGCACCACACCTTATCGTGGACGACTGCCATGCAGCGGATGGAGTGATGAGGCCGGCCGAGGTCCATCAGGTGGTAGTTGGATAAATCCCACTGGCCATCTGGGGAAGAAAAGCAGAGGGATCCTACCAGAACAGAGGAAAAGGCCTAGCAGCGGTCACACCAACATGAAACAGTAACTCAGATACCTTCGGATCTGTGGAATATGGCCAAGGTCCCATCGGCGAGGGCGACCAGCACGCGACCTTTTACGTGCCTGAAAGCAGACATCAGGGCCGAACATTAAATAGAAGCCATGCAGCTGCGATAAAATGGACGTGCAGGGATGTTTGTCTTACACCAGACTGAGAACAGAGTCCTTGAGTTTGATGGAGTGGAGACATTTCTTCCAATTTCCCACAGCTGAGTGGACATAAAGCCTGGGAGGAAAACAAGGAAGTTACTTCTGGTTTCTAAACCTAATCTATTTATGGCATTTTTTTTATTTTTACTAAGTTATGATATTTCATAAAACAAATAAAACTTGATTATTAAGTCGTTACCAGCCATTCTGGGCCCCGAGCCACATGGTGGGGGCCACGCTGGTGTAGTTTTTGGTTTCCTCCCCTCCATCCTCAGCCTCTGCTGGCTGAGAGGATTCCTCTTTGGACTGACCCGAGCTCCTGAGTGGACAGACACCATTCAAAGCCTTAACCAGCGTGGTGCTGCTGATCTGTCTGTTTAGGGCCAGGTTTGACCTCCTACCTGTCATCTGTTGGACGGGGCTGCGGGTCGGTGAAGACGTGCTCCGTGAAGGGCCCCGGGCGTCCCGATGCGATGCCCGTGTGGTTGGCGCTGGACTCAGAGACCTCGGTGGCCTCTGTGGCTTCCTCGGCAGACTGGGCGGGGTGAATCTTCCCATTCATGGGGGGAGCAGTGGGGGCTACAGGACAGCACCAAAGAAATGAAATGATTTAGATGGATGTTCGTATCTAAGGACGGCCTCATCAAAGTCCGCACTGATGAGCCCACCTTGCCCTTTGTCTACTATGGGTGTGTCGGTACGTGAGCAACAGTTGCTACGGGCAACACTGCAGTTTGTGGCACAGCCGACCAACGTGATGCCAGCCAACATGCCTTCCATCCCATCCATGTCCTCTCCACTGCCTCCGTCACCCGGATCCAACACGATTTCTCCTGCTGGGTAATCACTCTCGCTTGCAGCTGGATAAAAATAAACAATCAATACGAGCAGCAAGAAAAGGATCCCAACAAGAGCAAATATTTTGGCCGTAAACGGCCTTTTTCATCTGACCTGGCACGCTAGAGATGCAGAGGACGTGAGCGTTGCAGACGTTGAACTGGTCGACCAGAGAGCCAGGCTGGTTGGCGTCGATGATAACTACCTTGCTGGCAGAGTGGGTGCTGGTGAGGATCCACACTCGACTGTTCATGCTGTCTGTCTCCTGAAGTTCTTTAGACTAAAAGAGAGGTGAATAAACCAGAAACAAAGGCTAACTTAGTGCTCAATAAGATTCCAATCTATTGTTAAGATTAAAAAATAAATATGATCTCTGATATTAAAGGTAAATTTCCTTCCTTAACCAGAGCAGACCCTGAGCCGCTGGTGGAAATCTCTGATCAGCCTCCAGCGACATGTTTAAACCACTTATCTCTATTTATTTACTGGATTGCTGATTGCCCAAAAAAAGTGAAGCCACCGGCCGCCATATTGGTACTCCCCACTCTCACCGGAACGTGCAGTAAAAATGCCTACGTGTGTAGAATCTGACTGCAAAAACAAGCAGTTTTCCAGCTGTGGGAAGACGTTTCACAGGTAATTTCATAGTCAGTGGATGAACTAACCAAGATAATCCATATATACGCTGATGTATCCTATAGTATAGTATGTAGCGTAACATTAGTCTGGCTTTTTCAGACTGACTCGAAGATATTGTCTTAGTAAGCCATCAACATTGTGTCTAATGTTAGAAAAAAGAAAGTGGAGTAAATAGAAAGTATTTCACTGTGAAATGTCAATGTAATAATTCTTTAAGCAGTTAACGCTGTTGTTTTTGTAGTATTTGTTGTAGTTCTCATTTTTAAAAAGTCGTGTGCTGAAATATATTGCATGTTATATTGACGGTAAATAAAAGCACCTCAAACATTTTTAAAGGCTAATGCACAGACCCAGCATAAATGTATATGGCATCATTCATGTATAATTTGTAAATAGGAAAATACTGTAGCATTAGCAGACATATACTTGTATTTCAGTCTTGATGTAAGATCTTGAACTCATATGTAATTACTATAGCAATGTAACAAATAAATGTATATTACATGTACATCATCAATTTAGCACTTTTGGCACACCTGTATTATTATGCTCCATTAACACATTAGTTTTGTTGTGATGGATTTGTATAATATGATATATTACATGATTTAGAGATCTCATTGACGTCATAAAAACTATGCAATGTGATGTGCCTATTTCTTTATTATAAGTTAAAGTAATCTACTTATGCTATGGAACACCAAGTGTGCGTCAAAATGATGAATTTATCTTTATTTTAAAAGTCTTAAATCCATCTGAAAAAGACAACATCATCGTTGTTCAATGCTGTAGCGCACATATTGTTTAAATTGCGATCAGTCTAACTAGGGAGTACCGGTACCTATATGGCGACCGGTGGCTTCACTTTAACTTCTTACTACCAACAGGCGATCAGCAATCCAGTGAACAAATAGAGATCAGTGGTTGAAACTAGAGATGTTGGTCACCTTTCTCTTCTCAGGGGATGTGTTCTTCTTGTCCTCCTCAGTCTGCAGAGGGTCACTGCTGCCTGACAGTGCTTTGAGAGGCACCGCCTCCTGGCTGCTGACTCTCCATCCTGTCAGGTCCACTCCTGCTGCACACCACAGCTACAAGCACAGACGACAAGGAGCACAACCAACAGCTCGGGTAAACATTTCAGGACATAATCAGGTATAAACAGACATAATGAGGTAAAATAGTTGAGTAAATAAGCACTTTTGACACATCTGGAGGCTTCTCACCTTCCTGTTGGGGTCTTTCTCCACCAGAGGGCGACAGTAAACCGGGACAGGAACATTCTTCATGCGGTTTTCATCCTTCTCATTGGTCTGCAGGGAAAAATGATGAGCAGTCAGGAGAAAAGCAGAAAAATTAAATTAAATATGGTCCAATTTGTTCAAAGCATCTTGAATTTCTCTGAACACCAATAAAAATATATATACATGAAAAACAAAATCCATGTTTATCTGATAATGCAGGCTAACCATGACCAGTTTGACTCTGGAATTAAAGCAACGTTTATTGCTGTTACTTTCTTAAAGAATAACAGATCTATCCATAATATGTTACAAAGCATTACAGTCTGAACTATGTGTGAAAACAAAAACTATTTCTAAATTTTCTGATGAGACAATTTAAGTCCACTGGGTTTTATTTTTTCTTAGGATTAGTGTAAGTAAGGGAAGGTTAAAGAATCCAAAATAACCATTGGATCACAGGGTATTAGTACAGTCTAATTACTATAAAACATATAGAAGAAGTTTATTACAGAAAATAAGATAAAGCATAGATGCTAAGAACTGTTGAGTAGGGCAGGTTGAGACAGACAGAGGAGGTTATAATAAGGCAGCAAAGGGTAAGAATGTCTGCAGGGTTCATCATAGCATAAGTTCCTGTTTTAGCCATCCACATCATGCCTACAAATAAAATAAAAAAATGTTGCTTTATTAAATTTCATGCATTTCCTGAACTAAACTTGACCACAATTTCTACATTTGGAATTTATTTTTTCAGGTAATCATTAAAAATGTATTTTCTATCAGCTTCTGCAGGGGTTAGAGATTCAGGTGGAAGGTTAACAGGAAGGGGAAGCCATGAAGGCGCATGCTGGCTCTCTGTCGGTCTCACTTGCCTGTTGTCTTTTCAGCGGGCTGTCCTTAACGCCGTCCGTCTGACCACCAGTCTGTGGGAGACCAGAGTTAGAGCCACCTGCCTACCAACACGCCGCGCCGTCGGCCTCTCCGGCCAACCTCGGTTGGTCAGCAGTACTTTAAGGTGCACTTGAAGCACACTGTATAAAAACACCTTTTCTATGTCTGACATTAAATCAGATTAAATGTTTCCGTTTTAGGTCAGTTTGACTTTAGGAAAATCCTTTTTTATCTTGCCAGACTAATGAGATTTACAAATTTCTTCAGTATTTACATACATTTTCGTTGTTTTTGGCAGATTTATCTTTAAATTTGTGGGATACAGTATTCTGGTTCCTTTAACAAGCATCTCACCATAATTTGGTCCATTTCTCCTGGCAGAACTGAATGCCACTTCTCTTAATCCATCGTGTTAGTAATTGGACGCCATGCTTAGTGTCAGTGTCCATTGAATAGCCCCTCAGCTCAAGCTTAAACTCCATGGATGTTGTGTTACTGTTTCCACAGAATGTTCTTACTTCATTGTGTCATACTTAAATTTTTCTCCTGCAGCAGTAGATTTACACAACATGATGCTGCCACCGCCGTGCTTCTTAGCCTGTCTTTCTGTCTTAGCCTCGGAACATTTGCTGCATTTTTGATGCAAATGTATGCACAACTGTTTCGATATTATAAACTGTTTCGATATATATAAACAAAATATTTTCTGAATTTTATTGTTCCTATTGAATAACTGTATTTCTTATTTAACTCATTAAAAATAAAACATGCTGCTCGATAATCTTATAACCACTTCGTTTTATATATCTTTTTTCCAGCTCCAACATTCGGTAGTTGATGAGGGGATCTTTCTGATGCAAAAAAAAAAAGCATTTCCAATACACTTTAATGAATCCTATCAACTTCGATACAGCCAGAAAATCACCTTATTCTAAAGTATTTAAAAAAAAAAAAAAAAAACAATAACAAAAAAACCATTAGAAACAACCCCAAAAAAGATAACGGAGAGGCATTTTTTTTCTTCATTTGTTTGCTTCTGTTTAGCAAATTTATGGTTCTGATTACAATTTCAGAAGATAGCCAATGGGAGCACAGCTGGTATGTTCAAACACTTTCATTTTAGTTTCTATTTATCAAAGGGTAAAAGTCCCCTGAAAAAATTACTGATGGCTTCTTTCATACCCAGTGGCTTTATTGCATGATTCATTTCTTTGTGAATGATGAAACTATTTGAACAGATTTGCTCCAAAACATTCATCTTTGACACAGGGAAGCAGTCTTTTACTTAAAAATGGGAGAGCTGGACATTCTGTTTATAATAATGTAAAGTTCAACAGATGAGGAAGGCATGCCGGAGCGATTTAAACCTCATTGTTTGTCAGCTGATATAAAACTGTCAAACTGATCATAAAATTGTTCTGACAATCAGAACCGCACAATGATTTTGTTTGTTTATCTCAGTTCAAGATAACTTACATATGAAACGTTTTATTTATTTATTTTTTTTTTTTACAAATGTCTTTTCTGTTAAGTGTTAAAAATAGGTCACTTTAAGGTCTGTAATTCATACGTTTTCCAAAGGATGTTTAAAGGGTTTAAACATCCTTACATTTCCTTAAAATCCCATAGATTTTAAATTGACTTACTAAAGCATTGTGAAAAATTATTTTCATTCATGTTGCTTTCATTTTAGTTGAAGTTGGGATTATTTATTGCAACATTTTATTGTGATCCTCAGGCTCTCTTGAGGTCACTGGCTTCTTTCACTGAGCTCAATCTCAGGAACATCAAAAGGTTCAATCTTCTCCAAGCAATTCAGCAATTTGGAGAATCCAAAGAGAACAATGTATAAGAGAGAGTCCTCTTAGCACAAAGACTAAGGACCCCTATAGCTCACTACACACGTTTTCTATAAAAATTATGTCTGAGGACTGGGATGACCAAGAAGGGAAGGTTTGTTTTTATTTTTTTAACCAAACATTGAAAACTTTGTGATTGCAACAAGACAGAACTGAAAAAAAACAGCCAGACCTAAAGAACGCCAGATCATAAAGATCAGAAATGATGACAAGATATTTGGACTCATTGGACAAGAGGTATAAAGGTCCCCTAAAAGTTCCAGTTGTCATACATAGAGCTAAAGAGGGTTTTTTGGGGGTGGTTGGGGCTCTGTGTGCTTTTTACCTGTTTGAGGCGAGATGGCACACTCCAGCCACAGGCCTGCATGATGCCGTCATCGCGGCGCATGTGCTCACGCACCGCCCTGTACTGTTCACGCCGCTGCTCACGGCGCGCCATCAGCGCCGAGTCACTGAGGAGAGACGCAACACCATTACTGGCCAGTCTGGAAGCAACAGGGGGGAAGAGAAGGAGGAAAAGGCGAAGCGTTAGCAGCCTGGCCAGCCAGCAGCAAGAATAAGAGAGAAGAACAGGTGAGGAGGAAGACAGAGGAAGCAAAAGCAAAGCTCTGTTTTCTCTTTAGGAAAATTAATCAGTGGTCTTTTTGGTGAAGAAAATATCTTTAACTTTAGGCCAATAAGATGAATAGTTTGATTTTCTGCTGCAGTATTTAGAAGGAACCAATAATCAACCCCACAGTGCAGCAGCTCTGCTGGAAGCTCTCTGATCTGCAGGCTGCTAGAAGCAAGCAAGCATCCAAGCAGAGTAAGACCAGGACAGGCATGGATGTGCGCTGTGGAGTATGATTAAAGTTGGATCTGGCCGCTTTCGCTCACTCTTCAGGGAAGAACTCCAGCGTCCGGTTAGAGGTGGAGATCTGGCACATGGTGTGGCTGCGCCGCTGATTGAACGCAGGTGAGGGCGACTTGTAGTGGATGTTGACGCTGGAGTACGGTCGCTTAACGGGCGGAGGACTGGAGGAGGAGCTGAAGAGCCGGGCAAAGCTTTGGGACAGAGAAGGGAGAGCTTTGTTATCATATAATCATCTGCTTTAGAAGATATTGTAGAATAAAAGTCGAAATCTTACAACTGCCAGATGGTGGACTTCTTTTTCTCCTGGATTGGAGGGCTCTCCCTGGATGCCCTAAGAGGAGAGACAGAAACAACAAACTCCATCATTGGAATGGGAAAAAAATGGGAAAATTAAATATAAGAAACCAACAAAAAAGGATTAAAAAGAAGAAATAAATCCAATGTTTTTATTTTTTACACTTAGACTGAAATTCATTTAAAAGGCTAATTCAGTAAGAAACATTTGAGAAGTTTTTATTTGTTTATCCAAAGATTCTTCTTTGAAAGGGTACCTGATCATCTCCGTCCATCGCACAGCCTCCTGGAGCTCCATCAGCCTCTCTTTGTACTGGTTCCTCTCCATCAGCACACGGGCCATCTCCACCCGAGTGAAGCGGCGCCGCTGGGTCATCGCCATGTCCCCGTCCTGCATGGGCGACGAAAACTGAGCAAAAATGAGAAGAGTCCACTTTTACTCACTAATTTTGACAAAAAGAAATCAAACATGATATATAAGAATATTTCTACAAATAAAGCCTAAACAGTTGATGGCAATTCCAAGTAAAGTGCTTCCAGTGGCCTCCACACACTGATAAGGATGTGTCAGCTACCTTCTTCCTAGTAATAATTCACCACTTTCAGTTTCCTCGGGTGCAAATATCATGTGACATAGAGGCCTGGAAGTTAAAAGGCCTTTTCAAACCTACCATTAAACTATAAATATCTAAATGATGTTACATTAAGATAAGGCTGTGATTCTTTTACACTGGACCAAACACTCAGGTGTAAAACAAAGCTTCTTGTGTTTATAGGTAAGTTGGACTTTTGATTCTGCAGGAATCCAAATGCAAAATAATGGTGCTTTCAGACTGGTCGCGGTGATTTCCACCAGCCCCGCAGAGGGTTCACCGCTCAGCATATCGGATGCAGAGTGTTTACACCCTGGACCGCATCATCAAATAGGAGGAGCTTCAGCTGCGTGAAGCTGACATCCCTGAAAAAACTCAGCAAATAAACTGAATACTTTTCTGTTCATGAAAAAAAAAATATATATATAAAAAAGATCCTGTTTGCTACTGCTGTTTCAGAGCAATTAAAGATGATTTTTTAGGTCAATCCAGAGGTCAGCTATCCCCCCATTAAGCTCCGAATTGAATCAAAATTATCTAGCCTACTTTTTTAGCGCTAAATCATTTCTGCAGGTAAAACTATTATTTGTGCTGCTTTGTTTTTTTTCTTCTGAATTTGTCCTGTTTAACATCTTTTGGGCTGCTTGTCTCTTCTTGCGCTGCTCTTGTTCTGCTATTTACAGCAAACAGATGCACCTGCTTTTCTAATTACCCCCATTCTCACAGCTGTTATCTTGCATATTTACACCTGCCTGTCTCTCTGCCAGTCTCCACCAGATTGTCTCCCAAAATCAGTGGCTGTGTGCTCCCCCAGCCTTCCTGTGCTCATTCCATCCCGACTGGCCTGGTTCTAGTCCGTCAGCCATTATTCAGTCAGCTCAAAACCTGCTTCCAATCTGTTCAGTCATCATCTCCCTTCTCAGGTCTGCAATCAGCTAGTTTATCTGTCTTTTGAAGTCTGCTACCAGCTTCATGAACATTCATAACTAGCTGCTTCCAATTAACATTTTTTAAACACACACTTGTGTCTGGCTGAATCCCAGGTTCCCATAGGACCGAACTTTAGTTTCTTCGTTTGTTAACAAAGGACAGAACAACGGGTACAGGTAGGTTTACTCACATCATCGGCTACTTCGTCTTTGGAGTCTCGAGATGCCTCTGCTCTTAACCTGGAGTCACAAGCAGCAAATAACCCAGTTAAACATTAAAAATGTCCTTTAATTCAATAACTATAGTGGGAACTTTTAAACTTAGAGCATCACTTAGATGTATCTACATTAAGGCTAGCCGGGGTGAATTATGTTCAATTAGAAGATCCACCATACTAGAAAGTCAGGAAATATTATCAGTACTGTAATTTCTATTTGATATACTGTTGTAGGCTTAAGATTTAACCTTTTGAACTTTTAAAACACTCATTTTTAGCCCTTTGGCCTTTCATTTTCATATAAGAACATGAAATAAAAAGAGAAATGGGAAAGAAAAAATCCTTTAAATAATTGTATGTTTACAAAATAAAGGTCTAAATAAATTCAATAGAAACAAAAACGGTTTAATATAAAATAAACAAATGAAAAATATTGTCAAATAAATACATTTGAGGTTAACAAATGTAAAAAATTCTCTCATTTTAATTCTTTGGGAGATTTATTTATTTGATGAAATATATATTATTTATTTAGTAACAACATTTATCTCCTTATTTAATTTGAACAAATGGCACTCGACAGGTAAACATAACGTGAAATGCAGGAATTTCAAAGGGAAGAAAAAGCAAAGACCAAAATTAACAATAAAATAAGAAAATGCTTTAGCCATAAAAAATATCTAAAATCGTTTAAGAACGATAAGTAGAAAAAAACAAAAACAAGTTCTAGTTTGGCTGAAAATCGTTTTTAGTTTGATTTAATTTTAAACACTTCACATCAACACTTATTTGCTCTCAGGTTCTAAACACATTTTATCTTTAATTTTTATAAAAGCTTCATCTATTTCCAGATGAAGGAAAATATGGTCAAACAGAGAGGTTCACATTTCAGCATCTGACTCCCCTCCTGTTCTATTCGTACACATCAAGAGAAACAGGTTTTAACACTATCGTGTTTCTGTTGCTTTAACAAACCTACTATCTGCCACTCCCTGAGTTTTAGATTACAGGTGAACGGGTTCTTTCTGTAAACACACTGAGAAGCTTTCTCCTCCTCAGCTTTATCACCTGGGACGTCCTTCAGAGCAAAACTAAGACATCTTCCTTTCACCTTTTGATTTCTTCTTCCAGCTCCTTTATTCTGGCGTCCACTTTGTTCTTGGACTGCCGCACTGCCTCCAGCTCCTCTTTCAGCACCTCCTGCTCACTTGACAGCTCATCCACTTTGGCAATAAGGTCGTTTTTCACAATGTTGAGAGCATTTCTGTTAAACAACAGAAAGACAAGAAAGGTATCAAAACAAGCAGAGTGTGTGCTTTCATTTTCTAATTATCTCTCATTAGTAGTACTTTTATTTCAGCAATTCAATTCAAAAGCTAAAATCCATTAATTCTAATGACTATTCCCATATAAAGTGACATATTTCAAGTGCTTATTTCAGTTAATTTTATTTATTGTAGCATCAAATACTCTGAAATTTAATTATTCCTGTTGCTTGTAGTTTCTTTTTCCACCACACTTTTTCCTTCCACTCAATTTTCATTTGAACCCCTTACTTTGAAGGGTCAGCTTCTTCAGCAAAGATCTTCTGTGAATTATTTGTCTTAATGTTTTATTGGACCAACATTATTTTTGAATAAGGGTTTTAATAGCTTTAAGTAATATTTACCAAAACAAACAGGAATACATTGAGGTAATACAGTTTCTGTTTCATTTACTGATTTTAGTCCAATAGTAAGCTTTGGAATTTATTTATTTTAACCATCTCCCTCATCTCACCTGGATGAAGATAAACTTTGATCCATCTCCAACTTTAATCCACAGTTTATAAATATTTGGCAAATTTATGGAAGTACCTATTTCCTTTCAGTAATAAGCAAATATAGAAAGATTGAAACTGATCTTGAAAGGCATTTTCTCATTTCTTTCCATATATGAACACTGATAATGAGAAATGTTGCCCAGCATATCTGTACCCCAGGGAAACAGCATGCCTGGGTTGAAGAATGAAAGGTTTCTGTACCAAAAAGGACCTAGAAGATGAAGTTTATGAATATGAAAAAGTTTCAGGCATATTTACATATGATTGACAGGAGAAAAAATTAACACTGATTGTGACACAATTATACCTTAAAGACAACCTGAAAACAGATAGCGTTTTATCTGGGATTTTTCCAACCGCAGATTAAATGTTTATAGAATAACGTTAGAATTTCTTCAATAAAAATCTGTGAGATTACACTACAACAAAACATGGTGAATTTATTGTTCTTCCAGGTTTCTAACAGGGGAGGCTGCTGCATCTATCTCACATAAAACATGGTTAGAAATACAGGAATAACACAAATCTATTAGCAAACTCCTCCTTACTTGGTCTCTAAAAGCTGTTTGTTCTCCGTCAGAAGATTTTCCACCTCCTTTCCCATCCCTGAAACACAAATATATATTTCAATACACAATACAGCAATACACAATAAAATGTTAAATCTCTTAAGCAGAGCAACAAAACTAGTACATTAGCATCAAAGGTGACTTGTTAGCATATTTAGCTATTTGATTTGACTCTAATAATTAGAAGTATAATAATAATAGAAAGGCCTCTACAGCAAAGTTACTGAATTTTCTAGAATGCACACTAAAACAATTTGCCCTGCTTTCTTGCTAATCAATATCCTAAGCAGCCTCAGCAAAAACAAGAAAGACAAATTGTTTTTTTTTAAAACTATAACAGTTATGTAATGATCCAGCTCTCAGCCTCACGTTTATTTAGTATCTCCAGCATAAAAAAGATAAAAGCAGCAAGCAGTGCGAGAAAAATGCCAGCACACAAAAGTTTTCAGCAAAAAGGACCGTCATGAAGGTAGAAAACAAACCTTTCTTAGATTAAAGACAAAAAAAGCATATGTAGAAAAAAAATAAAAAATATGCAGGGCAATATGTAAATATGCTAAGTAAATGTAACTTGTGAAATGTGAGCATTAGCATCGACATCTTACCGAAGAAATCATCACGGACTGGAAGCAAAAGAAGAAAAAAAAACAGGACAAAGGGATTTGAGAGAGAGAAAAGATTAAGATCAGGAATGGAAAAAGGAAAGGACTTAAAGGAAGCATATATTGATTTAAAGTGGAAAATCTTTTTTGATTCAAATTAAAACGTCTAATCACGTAAAGCCATTTGGACACTAAACCGGTGCTAAAGCGATGCACTTCACATTCAGATACGCTCATTCATTGAGTCTATCTGAATTGAGCGTTGCAGCTTCATCCCCCTTATGGAGGCCAGAGCCTGTATGAGTTTATGGTTTAACTTTAGACCATAAACCTAACTGGACATCATTTCATTTCAATTACAATTTCCCACATATTTTACTGCAATGAAATATGACTTCACTAACGAAAGGAAACTCAACTGCACTGGAAAAACCATCCAGAAATAAGTACAAATGTCTTAAATCAAGTGTATTTACTCTTAATTTGAGTAGGTAAATGAGATAGTTTGCCAATAGAATGAGCATATTTACTCTTAAAAAAGATAATTAGAATATATATGCACTTGAAATAAGACAATGAAATTGTGTTTTCTTATTTTAAATGTAAATTGTCTTGTTCCATTGGCAAAATGTCCCTTTTATCTTCTCTATCCAAGGAAAATGCACTTATTTAAGAAAAACAATGACTTATCTAGATCTTGATTTGGACAACATTGTTACTTTTTGCAACTAAAAATCTAAAAAGTATAGTACACTTGCATATTTAGCCCCTTTTATTCTGTTACTTTCGAATAAAATCTGACAGAATGACAGTTTTGTATCAAAACATAAGAACATTTTTTACTGTTTAGATAATATTATCAAGCAGTTTTCTATTATGATTTTGAATCTGATACACATACTTCAGCAGAAACGTAGAATAGCTACTCAATTAAGCAGACATTAGTTATTTTTACTGCTTGTTTTCAGATATGTAAACCTTTGAGCCATACAGACACTAATATCAGCTGGCCATTGTATGGTTATGTAGATCCTGCAGTAGACTAACAAGGAAACATGCCCGCTTAGCTGCCAAATGTTTTAAAAACATATGACCTACAAATAAGTTTTAGTATAGTGTATGTTTAATTTCCCAAACCTAGGCAAACATTTAAAGGTGTTGATTAGTAAATAGTAGCAACATGTGGTGGAGGGGCTGTGCTGACTTATTATACGTGTAGTTTTGACAGTATTGTCAAACATTATGATTACATTTAGTGGGAGCTAAACAGTTGGATAAAGGATTCATTTATAAAACAACAAACTGCTAAATGTGAGATTTCGTTTATAATTTAAAACATTCTAAATTTAAATTAATACATTTCTCTGAAATTTTAAACTTTGCAATTTCAGAAAAAGTCACATTCTTGGATCCAGTTATTTTGAAAATCATAAAAATAAAACCCCCACACACAGAAATAAAAAAGGTTAGCGATGTTCAATTAGGACAGTTTGAGTAGCTTGATCAGGTTGTATATTAGAACTGATTTGCTTTATAAAAGTATAGATGCATTTTCAAATAGAGTAATATCTCCTCTTTGAAGGTTTAGCTTTTAAAATGAAGAAAAATCAAAGCACAAATGACAGAATACACACCTGAAAACTCGCCTATGGGTGCCACCAGCAGAAGCACATGAAAGGAAGAAACGAAAAAAAAAGAAATGAGTGAAAGGTTAACACGGGTCAGATTTCTTCTTTATTCCCACTGCACAAAATTCAAACAGGTTAAATGAATCCCAAAGCTCTACCACAAAAAAACCTCAGAAAGAAAAGCTGAACAAAAACGACTTTTATTGTAAAAATTCAATATCAAGATTAATAATGAAGGTAAATAATAATTGTGATGAAAGAGAGAGATTGCAAAGTATGTAATAAATGAAACAAACCTGACACTGCTTCAAAAAAAAGTGTGATAAAAGAAGCAAGTTGGAATAGTCATAAAATAAATGATGAAAATAAGCGCTGAATGAGTAGGCTGCTGAATTTCACTTTTTTTTTATTGCAAAGCAGAGATGAACTGCTGCAGTGTGCCATGCAGAGAAAGGCCCACTCCCAGCCTCTACACCTCTACATCCAGGATAACCACTGTCACTGTCTTGTCACTACATGTTTAAGTTAAGAGTTTAATATTCAGTTAAAGTTAAGACTTTTGACCATACCTAGCAGCTCAGCACCTGCGTCGACGTCCCCGATGATGTCCGACTTGGCGTCTTTGATCTCATGGTACAGTGAGTCAGTGTTGATGCCGAAGGCCTCGTTAACAATCCCCTGAGAAGGACTGACATAAAGCAATTTTTTTTTTAAAACAACACCTTCTTCTTGGCTGTATATATGTATATATATATGTATATATATATATATATATATATATATATATATATCTTAAGATTTCATTCAATGATCCAAGAAAGTATCTCCGAAGAAGCAATCAGTTGATGATTGTTGATTATGTTAATTTAGGACCTGAGAGGTCAGAAATAAAATTGCTGTGATACAAACATCTAAATACCGTATTCATCAGTTTGTTTCTTTTTATATCCAAATTAAGTTTTTGAAAAAGCTGCAATAAATAAAAGATGTAATAAAGATCTTGAAAATACATTAAACTAGTTTTACACCATATATACCATGTTTCCACACAGGATGAATGGGTTTTAGTTATTACGGAGAAAAATTAACAAAGACATTAAAAATGTATGTAAGATTAAAACAAGGATAATAATGAAGTGTAATAATAATAAATAAAGTAAAACAATTAGGAGTACATAACGGGACAAGGACTCATCCTATGAATTGTTGTCAGAATCATCTTTTTCTTCCTTTTTTATATTGCTTATTTTTAACAATATGTTTGAAACATTCTTATATTAAATATATTGTTATTATTAACTACTACAATCAAGATATTCCACAAGCCCAATGTTTGGGGTGCCTCCATCAGGCACACAAATAATACTGAGAACAAAATATTTTTAACAGAAGGACGCCATAAAGAGCTTATTTAAAGTTATTAAGTTATGTTTTTAAAGTCTTGAGATATTGAAAAATAACTTTGGCAAACTTTGCAAAAAGCTTTTTAAGAATCACCTTTCACAACAATTTAAAAACCATTCCGCAACCTTTGTTGTGGCTGCATCCTCTGTTCTTTGTTTGTTTTTAAGACAATCATATGCAGGTTGTTGATTACGTGGGGCAATGGTAAATCTCTGTAACAATGAATACAGCTTTGCTTTCTTTGCATTAAGAATGGTGCCTGTGACTAATGTTTGGAGTTTTTTCTAATTGTACCCTTTCAAATGAGGGCCAATTTGTAGGAGAGCGGGACAAAAGGCAAAAATGCGGCACAATCCTTTACAAATCAGGACATCTGGTTGCCTGAGCTTGAAGTTTCTAAAAATATATTATTACTCATGTTTTGTTGCATATTTGTACAGCATCAAGGGGAGTACCAGCACCTATTTATTTCCACTTAAAGCACTGATCCAAACCACTAATGGTTGTCCTGTTGGCAGATTATCCCACCTGAGCAGCAGCGCCTCCATAGTTACCTTGACTGTAATGGCTGCTCACATTGCCTGGCCTGTAATGTTACATAGACAGGTCTACAGCTGTAATTTAATAGTGCTCTGTGTTAATAATGTCATATAATATAGCCTAAACCCGTTCTGTTCACTGATGTTGATGGTGAATTTTTTTTTTTATTTGTAATAAAAAAAGACTCCTTACATCCCTGATTTTGACCTAAGCTGATTTATCATAATTTTGGGGATATTTAAATGGTGAATGAAGAGTTCTGCATGGTACTGTATGGGCTTCCTGTGATGTACTGAAACAAAAAATAATATTCAAATTGCTCCTGTGAGTAGTCCATTTATCACAGTACATGAACCCTTCATAGCTGTATGTAAACACTGTATTTCTGTACCTATTTCCTCCTCCATACACTCGGGAATCCATGCCCATCTCCAGCTCTGGCGTGGAATCAATTATTTCCTGAAACTCTGACCATTCATCGCTGCTTCCCATACCTGGAGAACAGATGCACACGCATGCTGTTATGGCACATCAGCTGCACTGCATGTGAGAGATAAAGCTGAGTTTCCATCCTCTCACCAATGCTCACGTTCCTGGTTTCCTGGGAAACCTGCACCTCCATGTTGCGACTGAATCGCTTGGCGCTTTTTCTGCGATTCCCGGCCCGCATGGCATCAAAGTCGTAGGTCTCATTGATGGGGGTGATGGTAGCGGAGGGGACGGAGGAGGTGGGTGTGTTGGACTTGCTTCCTGTGCTACTGGGTGTGGCTGCAACAGAGTCAGACTCCGATCCATCCTCCTGGATGCAGCAGAGGTGAAAAAGCAGCATGGGCACAACAGAAAAACATAAATAAATCAAATTGAAGGCTTTTATAATAAGATTTGAAGAGGCATGATTAGATGTTGATCTCACTGATTTTAAGTCATTTAAAGATATAGACCAGATACAGCCAAATTCACCAATTTATTCTTTACACAGGAGTATGAAATTTAGATACACCAACAAATATTCTTAAGCTCCTATTGAGAGCATCTGCTTCTGTACTTAAATGTAATGCTAATGTTTCAGTAATGTAGAGTTATGAGCAAATCATCCATGCCCCTGTCCCCTTTTAAATTAAAAAAACTATTTTTGAAATTACGGAATATAAAGCAATATCAAAAGAATCAACTTCTTAAGTTACAATTCAGCTTTTTATACATGTAAAGAAAAATGCCATGCTGGGATATATTTATACCACTATTTATCAATAGGAAACCCTTTCTCGTATGGCATGAAAGTTTTTTTTATAGTTCTTCTTTCACAGATTATCTGCCAGATTTAAATCAGGACTCTGACAGGGTAAGCCAAATATAGATTTTTTTTTTGTATTCATTTTTTTTTAAAAATATCTTAAAAAAAGGCTTACCTAGGTAAAAACCTCCTTATGAAAGCAATCAAATCAGATCTACTTTTAAAGGGGTCATAGAATGATTATATAGGGTATGTGGTGCTGGTCCTTGAGGTCTCTGAATAGAGTGTGTAACATTGGTTGGGCTCAAAATGGCATATTTACTGTTCTATGAGCCCTTATGCAAGCCTGGTTAAAAGCCCTAGAATGAAACGACAGGTTTTCTTCATTTTATGGTATGCTCCTGAATATTTAGATGAGCTGTGTGCTGATTGGTTGGTTTACAACGAGCGAAGCTGCTGAGCAAAGACGCATCATAGCAACAAGCACTCAGTCACTGAAACATCGAAATTGTTGATATGGTAGGGTGACCAGATGTCCTCTTTTTCCCGGACATGTCCTACTTTTCATACCTAAAAAATGTCCGAGTGAAATTTCAAAATAGTCCAGGATTTTGGTTGACTACAGTGCAGCACGTAGTCAAAACACACCTGGCATTTGAACCGAGCCGTAAGCTCCGGGGCTGGTCCGGGAACCCCGGCGGACGGGGGCAGACAGCCCGACCTAAACCCGACCCGGTGACGGTAGCCTGGACACAGGCGGCCCCATGCTTCCCCCCGCCTGCTTTACGGGCGGCTCATGGCTCTCTGCTGAGGTCCGGTCCAGCCAAAAGCCCAGCAGTCGACACTTCATACCCGCCCCCTCTCTTGGGCCAGTGAACCAGTGGGCTGGTCTATATGTCAATTTAGGGGCGTGACATAAGTGCTTGCCAGAACCAAATAAGGCACTATCCCCGAGCTTACGTCAATTCGTTGCTTCATTTGGATTCACCGTTTTATGGTGGAAGTTTAGAATTGTGAGATTTGCCGAGAAAAGAGGTGTCGATGGGGTTTGAACTTCTCTGTACGTCTATTTCACCCACTGAACTATCGTTATTCATCTATGACAATGTAAACTCGGTTTCGCATTCTATGGCCCCTTTAAAAAAAGAGAAATACCTCAAGTACTTGATGATAATGAACAAGACTGGTATTGGTTTCATTTCAGAAATGCACCATTTATTCAGCAACGTTTAGCCTGCTAACAATGTTCAAATTTTCAAAATTAAATGGTAGCTAAATTTGGAGGTTTTCTTTCTACTGCTGCTATCAAATCTGAAATTGGTGCAAGACCAGGTAAATATCAACCAGCAAACCATTAATAATCCCATGGCCTTTTGAGCATGATTTATAGGAGGAACAAATGACTGACAGACCTTCGCTGTTTTGCTACTTATCCAGTTAAACAGATATAACAGTCACAAATATTTCAAAGAAAAATACTGAAAAAAAAGCTGTGAAATACACATTTTGGAAAAATTGGTTGGTACCCAAAGTTTGATTAAAGAAAAACTCACAATGAAATAACTTAATTCTGACAAAAGCAATAATTAGTTGTTGTTTTTTTTTGTAGGGGAGCAGAAGTCTACTTGAGAGTTATGGAAATAATTAGATCATCCAAAAGGTTGTGGTACAAAATATTAAGTTAAAGGGTACCACCATTTTTGCCCATTTTTTTCATTCTGGTGGAAGCATGGTTGAAAAGCAATTTCTGATTTTATTTGTTTGTTGTCATAGAATATTTATGTATTATTACCTGTGTCATTTTATATATTCAAGTTTTTTCTGTGACCATTATGGGTTTTTCTTTTATTAAATGAGGGGAACCAATAATTCAGTCCATGTGTTTAAACACAGCAGGACATATGGTTGAAGCACCACAGTAACACAATCACACAGTTACAAAATAAAACTGCATGAAAATGATCCAACTAAATGAGATCCCTGCTTGCTTGAGTCAAAGCTTAAAAACATAGAAACCAGATTTCAAAGGAGCAGATTGGATTTATCAGGGAAGAGGTTTCAAACGTTTATTTTTAAGCGACACAAGCAGGTGTGGGAGCGGTGGCGGTCCACATGAGCGTGGGCAGTAGCAGTGATGCTAGCCCCTCCCTCTTCCACTAGGGAGCTGTGGACGAAGACAGGACCCCCCCGTCTGTCCCACCTGATAGGCGGAGCTGAAGGTGGAATGTCCGAGCTCGCTGACCTGCCAGATGTCTTTCCCGGGCATCATCCTAGCCCCCCCGAGACCCCCACGTACCATGCCCTCGCCACCAGGGTACAGGCTCAACGACGGCGGGCGCTCCGCTTTGCTGCGGGTGGAAAGGGCACAGAGAAGGGTGGAGAACCACATTAGTTCAGCTGCTGGGTAAAGACCCATTTAAAATTTTTAAAATCTGCCATGCTACAAGCAAAAGCTACTAATTTATTAAGGTTTCATGTAATTTAACACTTACTGAGTAAGTGTAAATTAGAAGGATAATTACACATTATAAGAGCAGCTTGCATTTCTGTGTTCCATGCTAGATTGATAACGTTACAGCAACAGTTTCTAAGGCCTGACTCAGATCCTCACCTCTAAACACACACAGGTTTAAGCCAATCAAAGCCCCAGCAGCTCTGGCTCTGTGTTTAGGGTGGTTTTTCTGCCTGAAGGACAAAGTTCTGCTTTGGTCTCCTGTTGTTTGCAGCCTTTGATCGTTTTTCCTTTAGGACTACCCTGAATTTATCTCTAGATACCATCTAATTGTTTACAGTTTCCCTAAATGTCTTCTGACAAACTGCAAACAAGATTTCTTATGAGGTCTTTAAAATATTTCCACACCTCTGATCTGTGGATCCCTGTATTCCTTCAGTGGTACTTTGGGCCTCTTGTTTCTATGTATTACAAATTACCAACAGTTGGGTTGACTTTACTTAAGATATTATACCGTATTATACTTGCTACTTTTGTGATTTCATCAAAAGAAAACTTAGTAAAAAACATAAATGCTTGGGGTTGTAATGAGGGAAAAAGTGATTTCATCGTTTATAATTATTCATACATAGTAATTTCTTCCCCCGCTAGGACTGCTATTCTTTAGAATAGAAAAATACAATTATCTGGTAGCATCCAACTTAAACTGTGTTTCACTGTCACTACTGTTCATTGGCTCGTTTAACGGAGTAATTCCATACTAAATGTGTTTCTTTTTGAGGGATCAGCTCTTAAAATATTCAAATTATCTCCTATGGGTCTGAACAATAGAATAACTTTAGGCCTGCATCTTAAACGGTAGTGAGAAATTAAATAAGAACAAATGCACACCACTTGATTAACATGAACACTGAGGCTAACATTTCTGGTCAAAATAAAATGCTCCACAGGCAACAGACAAAAAAGGCAGGCAAGAAGATGTAAAAAAAAAAAAAAGGAGAAAGAGGATAAGGTAGATTAGGGAATTGGGGGAAGACTTTGAAAGTGACATTGAATCCATTCAAAATAACTCGGTAGAATACAAAATCAGTGCATTTGTGATTCTAAGCGGTTTTACAAGCATCAATAACTGTTAAAGCGAATGCAAATGAAGTTTTTTTTTTTTCCTCGCTGCATACAAAGGTTTGAGCACTTCATATGAACCCTAACCAATCGATTGATCAATCAATTAAATATTAGATATTAAATGCTTTACAACAACAGAGATTGATCAAAATGCTTTAGATAAGAGAAGTGAAAGAAAAAATAATAAAACATTAACATTTTATCAGTGCATTTTACAGGATATTGTTCCAAATGTCAATTTATTTTTTTGATGATTACTATAATTAATTTAACTATTAATTAAAGAAGAGGAATAATCATGATTTGGGCTTTTGTGTGCTAAGATACAGCTTCCATTTCGATGGTATAGATCTAAAATAAGATCAAAACCCTGCATAAGGTAAGGCTGTGTTTATGTCACAGCTTTACAAAAAGTGAAGTTCAAAGGCTTAAAATGTCTGAATTTAACAGAACATAAATTAAACTGACTTTATGAACACTTCCCAGCACTTATTTTAAGTGCTCAAACCTCCACATGACACCATAAACATCAGCAGATAAGCAATAAGGGAGGATTTGCGATTCTTAGTCAGGTTTTGACTCCAAGCAGTTCGGTTTAAAGGATGCAGCGGAGCAAAGTAGGGAGAGCTATGGGAGCATGTTTGATTTACCTTTTCCTCCATGTGTGGCGTTGACTGTGCAAACAGGAGCACAAAGAACAAGCCAGCAGGACAGACAAGACAGACAGATTAGTGAAAACGACAGCATGCCATGATGACCCACACAAACACACTAATACACGTTTGGAAAACATGAACTGTTAAAGTTCTGCTTTTATTTTTCCCTTTTAAAGCAGATTACTGGTGGAGGTTTCATTGCAGGAGCTGCTAAATAATGCATTCAGTAAACCTCAGAGGGGTTCAAAGTGCAACGCTCGGCTCATCCGTGTAATAAAGAAGATTGGAAGCATCAGTACTCATTGCACCTGACAATGCAGTTAAGATTTGTTGGGATGCTGCATGAAATCAGCACTGGTTTTAAAATGATCCCAATATAAAAAAGGCAAATACGCAGGACTTTAATTTAAGCTGCACAGCTTCATGAAATCAAATCCTGCAAGTTGATTAATGAGCAGCAATATATATTTTTTTCTTTTTTGCACACAGACTCTGATCTGCAACAGTGGAACGGATGAGCTGTTCTGCATAGCATGATGATGACACATAAAAGCCTGACATGTTCAGAACCAAGGAGACAACATGTGAGAGTTACATGTTAAAATCCACAAATCAGTGTGTGACAGAAACAAGCATGAGAAAATGTCCACTCACGTTCGTCCACAGCCGGGGCCTTCTGATTGGCTGTTACTGCCCGCCTGTTGCAGTTTGGAGCGCTCTATGTGCTCAACATAGGTCTGAATCATCTGTGGACAAACATGTTCAGATATGGTTTTAAAAAAGGGAAGAACCTAAAACAGGGACTGTAGCCACACTGCAAAGAAAAACACTGCAAAGTCAGATAGGGTTCTAAAGTTTAGGTTAAAATATCAAAAAAATTATTTTTTACTGTTTAAATTGTGGGACTTATTTTATAAACATTTGCGTACAGTTTAGCTGATAATAATTTCAGCTGTGACAGAAGTCCAGGAGCCTCTCTTTTGTTGGGACATTCAGCTCTGCTAAACAGCCATGAAAGCCTTAAAAATCTGCTTCTGTTGCAGTTGAAACATTTTGAACAAAGCTTTTGCAAAGGATCATTTGTGGCTTCAGTAAAAGCCCAAGCTTCCTGCTATTTCAAAGACATCAAGATGTCATTCACACTGACAAGGTTTCCAGGGCTTTTTGAAGAGTAATAGGCCCACAGCATGACTGGTCCTACACTGTACAGTAGACAGGAGATGCTTTTTACTCATATTCATTGTTATGTCCATCCTGCCAAACCCAATATTTACTGACAAGAGCAATATTGTTTAGCCTAAGGACTAGGTGCTAAAAGAAAATGGTCTTAGTGTCACACCATATCTAAATAGCAGGGATATAACTAGTTAAACATTGGTATTGGAAGACAATGTCCACAGACGCTCTGATGTTTGGGAAAATTCCAATTTTGTTAGGGAAGCAAATGGGTTTGGAAATTCCTTATATCCATCCCATGTACTTTTAACACTTTATGTACTTTGAATCAAAGAGTGCATTTATCTTAAGCAATTTAAAAAAAGTAATTTTGCTTTTTCTTATTTCTCCTCCAATAAATACAAAACTCACTGCAACATTTTAACACTTTAGCACACATGCTCTGCAAAAACAGAACCGTTTTTATTCTGTTAAACAAATACAGTGGATCAGGAATATAACCTGAAAGTGAAGATTCTCAGTCATCCAGGTCATAGTCATTCCAAAAAAATGTTAAAAACAATCCACTGGACTTTGTTTCCAAGTTTGAAGATGTTTTGCTTCCCTTCCAGGAAGCTTTTCCAATTCAAAATTGAAAAAGCTTCCTGGATGGGAAGGAAACGTATAGACTTTGTGCTGTAAACACATAAAAAAGAATTATAATAAACAACCAAACAACAAGAAAAACTGCTTACCTCAGTGTGGCGCTGATGAAGAGCGTTGTATTCCTTCTTCATCTCTGCTTCGCGCTCCTCAAGACGAGTGACTGTAAGAAAAAAAAGTGTTTTTCTTTTATTCTAACATTAAAATCAAACAAAATTAGGGACCTAATTAATGTATTGAAAACCAGAAGGATGTATGACAGGAAAATAGTTCAAGTTATTTTCTATATTTTTCTTATAGTTGGCATGCTGGTTCCTTATGAATAATTAATAAATATAGAATGAATCAGTTAAGAAAACAGAGGACTCATTCGATATCAGCCGTCTGCTTTGTTAAATAACATAGTGAACATCCACTCACTCTGGTCTGAGTAGTTCTTGGTCTTCAGCTCTAACTGCTTCCCCTGTAGCTCCAGAAACTCCACCTGCATCTGCAGATCCTTCTTATCCGCCTCCAGACTGTCCTCAAACTCAATGAATTTCTAGAGGGAAAAGGAAATAAAACAAGACTAAAACCTTAATAATTAACTCAAGAAAAAGTGAAGAGTTTTGTGACATGATGGTGATTAGATGTATTAATAAAGCTCATCAGAGGAGCACTCGGATTGCAACTGAGACGTGGTTTTAGTTATTCCTGTTGGGTTTTGTCAAATTGTGCATGATTTGTTTGTAAGATATGCAGGGGTTTACGATTTGGACGTACGGAGCGCCACACTTCTGTCTGTGTTTTTGTTTTTCATAAAGCTGTCTACAAAGCCGCCTAGTTTTTCCCCAATGCTGTAAGAACAGAGAGGCTTAATGCTGTAATCCTCCAACTGCAGGGAGAACCACGGTCACTTTGCAGCGCAGATACAGGACTGAACATGGAGTAGCTCTTACAAAGATACATGTCATCAAATACAGTATCTGTTAGGAGACAAAATTATTTAAAACATGTTTTTTTTTATTTCTGAGTAAAATTCTCTATCTCCAGTAAACATTTCCTTCTTTACAGAACCTTGCAATTTAGCAAGAGGAAATTAAAATAGCCACACAAAAGTTTTCTCGCCATTTTTTTTTTTTATAGAAATTTATAAGAGATCCCATTTGCACTTTGCCACAAGCCATGTGGAACATGAGGCCATGGTTCCCTCCACAGATGAGACCACAACGGATCTGCTTTGGTCTACATGCAAAGTATGATTTAAGGCTTAAAGCTAACACTGCATATTTCATAAACATATCATCATTCTTTTTTTTTTGGTCTTTGCATTAAATCAAAGTTTAATACAATCTTTTTTTGTGCATTTTACCCATATAAATAGCAAAAATATTGTATAAGGACAGGAGGGCAGCCAGAAAATATCTTGTGATGTTAATTTTTTTGTTTGCATCTTAAATTGCATTCATTCTGGATAGATTATTAATTTAAGAGCAGCTTCAGAAACCATCATTCCACCTCGGACCAATGAAATGTTCGCCGTCCTTAAGCCTTAAAACCAGATATCTCAGAAGAACTTCTAATGTAGAGATCCCACATAGACGATCAGGAAAAGCATGATCAGGAATCAAATCATCACACTGAGATGGATAAAAATGACGTTTCTTGGGTGCTGTGTACTTTCTGTGGAAGATGAATAATTCAGCAGGTGTCTATTTGACGATGGAGTGGATCTAATTTACTTCCCCGACAAATCCCAGCCAAGTGCATCTGAATGCAGGTCGGTGACAGTTTCAGCTATTTATAACCTGTGAAGCTCGTGAAGGGAGTGAAATGACAGCAGCTGAGAAAGGGAATAAAAAGAAGCTGCATAATCACTGATAATCCTTGTAGATTTGTTGTCAGCTCACACCTTTTAGTAAGAGACTAAGCCTGAATATTCATGTGCAAAAGGTTAAACCCAGATATGATAAGAAGCACCGATGTAACAAGCAAAGCAAAAGGCATAAAGTGTAAAACCTGATTAGTCCCTAACAGTTAAAAAGGGCGGCTGATTCTAAAAACTGGTAATGGTTAATAATGATTTATGGTTGCTGTCTTCATTTCCCATCATGTAGGCCCCTGCAACCTTGTAATCGGAGCTACATAATACGCCCTGCTCCCTACATTTAATCAAGACGGCGAATTCTAATGTGTTGTCAGATTCCTTCGTTATCTTTTTCTCCTATTAGTTCTTTGCCTTTTTAACCAGATTCCCGATGCAGCTTTATTTACTCCAACCTCTTTCTTTCAGTCTGTTTTTATCCCTCTGTCTGCACCTCACTAGAACAAATCAGGTTACAGTTCTACTGCTCTGTGCTCTATTGATTTCCTGCACTGCAACTGTAAGGACGTCGTCCCATCCCCCACTGAGCTCCACTCATGGTCAGACAAAACGATCTGTTTATACGCTGCGTTGTGTGTTTTGGTCACAACCATCGAAAGGAGGAAAAAAAATGGGAATTATTTGATGAATAGAAGAGATGTGAAGCTGTTAAAAAGGGAGGAACATGTGTTGTGTTCCCAGTCACTCATTAATTTTGAGGGTACCTTCCCAAAGGTTTACCAGCTTTCTTTAACTTCCTTTCTTTAACTGTATTGATTTTATTTTTAACATTAGTAAACATCTTTCTGATAAGAATGATTTAAACAGATTATCCTAGGCAAAATATAAGTAAGTTAAACATGTTTGAAAAAGCTGCAGTATTTTATTTGTGTTCCACCTTTCATTTCCATTACAGAAACCACTGAGTTCAGTTTGCTTCCAGTTATCCTGAAGCATGGATATATCTAAAGATGCAGGGCATCAGATGATCATGGCTGGATGATGATTTAAGTGACTAAAAAATGGGGAGCCATTTCTAAAGTTAGTCACTTAGAAAAAGATTCACAGAAATATTTTACAACATTCGATATTTAAATTATTTCATCAATTTATTCTAGTTTATTATGTAATAAGCCACTCCAAGATGAGTCACCAAACACTAACCTAAAGTGTCTAAAGAGGTGTAGGAAGAAGCAAAGATATTTCACCAATGATTTATCCATTATCTTTCTTAAATTATTCTTTTACTTAAGGTACAGTATTTTAAAAAAAAACTAAAGATTAAATGTTACAGAGAATGGTTTTTTGCAGTTTCACAGTTGAAAATTAAAAGTGGATATTTATTTTTTTACTTTTGTTAGAATAAATATTTAAATTAGGGCTGCAACTAACAATTATTTTGCAGATTGATAAATCTGATTATTATTTTGATTAATTGATTAATAATGGGATAGCCAACTTTTCCTTAAAGAAGACTTTTTACTAAATTAAATCAGTTGAAACTAAATGTTTTCCACGTGAGGAGTTCTGGATGGAGCATATTTTTTTTATTTTGTTTTTTTTTTTATTTT